GAACTAATGCTAATGTGGAGCTGACACTAACACTAATGCAGAACTAATGCTAATGTGGAGCTGACACTAACACTAATGCAGAACTAATGCTAATGTGGAGCTGACACTAACACAAACGTAGAACTAATGCTAATGTAGAGCAAACCGTTTGGGGAGCTAACACTAATGCAGAGCTAATGTTAATGTGGAGCTGACACTAAAACACTAATGCAGAACTAATGCTAATGTGGAGCCTACACAAACGTAGAACCAATGCTAATATGGAGCAAACACTTTGGGGAGCTAACACTAATGTGGAGTTAATGCTAATGTGAAGCTGAAACTATTGGGGTGCTAACACTAACACGGAGCTAATACTAATGTAGAGTTGACACTAACGTAAAACTAATACTATTATGCAGCCAACACTATTGGGGAGCTAACACTATCACAGAGCTAATGCTAACGTGGAGCTAACATTATCGCAGAGCTAAGTAGAGCTAACGGTAACACTACAAACTTGTTTAATGACTTAAACACCTAACCCTATCCATAAATGTGAAAAGCCAGAAGATGCGAACTGAAGCCACAACGTCGGCTACAACAATCTCTCCTCCTGCGAATGATGGAAAGAAATCTACAACCTGTCCCTTACGAGCAGCATAATAAAACCAGGAAGGAGATATAAAACTGAAGAAGTTAGTTTGACTGATAATTTTAGAACACAGAGTGATTGATTTTGAGTCAAAAACACCTAAGTGTCTTTTAATCGTCACATTACTCATTATCAGCTTAACGTCACCTTTAAACGTTCAATCATCTGCCACTTTTTCTCTGAAGTCTACCCATAAGCCCCTTCTACCAAGTCACAAGATGGCAGCCTGACTGGAGGGCAGCCAACGTGTTCGAGTTCACCGCCCACTAACATGGCTGCTGATCTATGAACACGACGCCACGACAGATTAGTCTCAGACCTGCTGACAAACAGGAGGGAAAGAGAAAAAGAACAAGAAGCTCGGATCTCATTTGTTTCAGGGAGGAGGATGCAGACGATTCCTGTAGCGCCACAAATTCACGAGGCTCTCATGGCACTTCATCTGCAGCTCCGGCTCCGTGGAACCAGATTCATGACTTTGTTTTGTGCTGATGGGGTCATAATTTGAGGTGGGCACAGCTGATGAGGTTTTGATTTAGTTTGTGGGCATGAGAGCTCCTCCATAAATGACTCCCGTGGTCCCGGACAGAACTTATCACGGGAAGTGGATCTGCCTGCTGCACAGCCGAGGCACCGGTGGACGGTTGTAGTTCATCCTTCTCGCGTATCTTCACTCTCGTTCTTATCGATCCTGATGCTTTATGGGACGAGAGACATCGGCTCGTTTCAGTGAGATGCAGTTTTGAAAAAAGTGATGATGGCTGAAAGTTCCCAATAAGTCATATAAAATGCTGTTAGCAGTCCGAGCTGACTGATATCGAGGGTTTCATGTCAACATTTCTGTCAGGTTCTCTGGAAACTGCCTGAAATCTTTCCAAACCTATTCATTTTGTCAAAAATCCAAAGTTTGTATAGTTTTACTTTGATTTTCAACAGTTTGTCCTGAGGTCCAGGCTGGTCCACAGAGGTGATCAGGTCTTTTGTTGTCCTGAGGTCCAGGCTGGTCCACAGAGGTGATCAGGTCTTTAGATGTCCTGAGGTGGTCTACAGAGGTAATCAGGTCTTTAGTTGTCATTAGGAGGTCTACAGAGGTGATCAGGTCTTTAGTTGTCATTGGGTGGTCTACAGAGGTGATCAGGACTTTAGTTGTCCTGAGGTGGTCTACAGAGGCGATCAGGTCTTTAGATGTCCTGAGATGGTCTACAGAGGTGATCAGGTCTTTAGTTGTCCTGAGGTGGTCTACGGAGGTGATCAGGTCTTTAGTTGTCCTGAGGTCCAGGCTTGTACACAGAGGTGATCAGGTCTTTAGATGTCCTGAGGTGGTCTACAGAGGTGATAAGGTCTTTAGCTGTCATTAGGTGGTCTACAGGGGTGATCAGATCTTTAATTGTTATTAGGTGGTCTACACAGGTGATCAGGTCATTAGTTGTCATTAGGTGGCCTACAGAGGTGATCAGGTCTTTAGCTATCATTAGGTGGTCTACAGAGGTGATCAGGTCTTCAGTTGTCCTTAGGTGGTCTACAGAAGTGATCAGGTCTTTAGTTGTCCTGAGGTGGTCTACATAGGCGATCAGGTCTTTAGTTGTCCTGAGGTGGTCTACAGAGGTGATCAGGTCTTTAGTTGTCCTGAGGTGGTCTACAGAGGTGATCAGGTCTTTAGTTGTCCTGAGGTGATCTACAGAGGTGATCAGGTCTTTAGTTGTCATTAGGTGGTCTACAGAGGTGATCAGGTCTTTAGTTGACCTGAGGTCCAGACTGGTCCACAGAGGTGATCAGGTCTTTAGTTGACCTGAGGTCCAGGTTTATCAGTTTTCTGAACCGATAAACCACAGGTCCGGAGCTCTGAGTTGAATTCGGCTGTAGTTCAGCTGATTCCTGACTTCAGGTCTAGTTCTGGTTCGGCTCTGGTCCCACAAGGGTCAACGAGACAAATGGACGTGTTTGGGACACTGTGGACGACTAACACTGTGTACTGATCTGTAACCGTCTCCTCCGGCACGATTAAAGAAATTCAATCCCACTAATGGCTTCTGAACTGCAGGTAAAGTAAACAAAAAGTTTTCTCTGGAGTTCGGCTGTTCGGAGCCTGAAGTTGAAACAGCTGAAACAAATCAAACCATTAGCTTAATGACTTTTGGCTCACGATCACTAAAACCAAACGTCTCTCTGGTCAGCTGAGAATCAGGATGTTTGCAAACATCCACGAGTCAAAAGGCAGGGAGGAAACAACAGATCTGTGTCGCACCAGAATCACATTTTAAAACCGGTTTTGGTGACGCTAAATAATTTTTCTAACATCTCAAACGAGCCTGCGGCTGCAGAGAAACAAACAGGAGAGACAAATGATGGCTTTACAGAGCCGGCAGCAAACTGTAAAAATGTTGTAGTTTCAAAACATTTTCAATATCTTCCTGTTAGTCGTCACCTGCTGGACACAGATGACCAAAAACTGAGCTTCACTAAACAAGAGTCTTAGCTTCATCACATCACAAGATTGAGGATCCACTGGCAAATATGTTTATTCAAACTATAAAAAACCTGGTTACCACTTTACAATAAGACTCCACTTATAGATGGCTTATTAATAGTTATTAATTCATCTGTAAACACTTTATGAATCTTTAAGAAGTGTTTATTATGCATTAATTAAGGATGAGAAAGAAACAAAACTGTCTGGTTTCTTGCCAAATACTGAGCCAAATCTGTTCATGTTCTTATTACATCTGAAGGTGCTACATATATTTAATATTTCACACTAGGTTTCTACCTTGTAAGCACAATAAAGTATTGGAATAATAATGTAGTAATACAGTACAATATTATATGTAAAATATGTATTTACAATACATTATGCTTACAAGGCAGAAACCCAGTCTGAAATGTTTAATGTAGCAGCTTTAGATGTAATATGAACAGATTTGGATCACTATTTGGCAAGAAACCGGACAGTTTTGTCTATTTCTTGTCCTTAATTAATACATAATAAACACTTCTTAATAATTTATAAAGTGTTTACAGATAAATTAATAACCTATCTATAAAACATTTATTAGCCTTCTATAAGGGGATCCTTATTGTAAAAACTAATACTAGAACTAATACAAACTAAATTAAAACTATGCATTTAAAATGCAATAATAACTAATAAAAACTAGCAAATCCACTGTAAAAACTAATTAAAACGAACTGAATTAAAAGAAAAAAGTCACAAAGAAATGTAGAGGTAACCCTGGTGAAAAAAACTTTTCTATTGTTTATTTTCTTTGTCTTTGATTTTATATTTTTACACTTACAAGAAGAAAATCATTTTAAAGTGTTTTTATTTTCTTTAAGTGAAT